GATAAGCGGGATCAATCGAAAGCTGCCAAAATAACTAAACTATGAAAAGAAGAAAAAACACTGAGTGTTGCTTGTGTCCAGGAGTCCATCAGTGTGCCCAACACCAAGCATGACAGTGAGAAATACTCGATTTCGGCAGAAGCTTGACCAGTGGTCGAGGGAAACTCCAAACAAAGCACCCATAGGCGCTTCAAGTGGAACCTCATCCATAACAAAGGAAGCACGTTGGTCGATTGTTCGAAGAAGCCTCACCCATAAGGAAGCACAGTCGATTTGAAGAAACCCTCCACCAAAAAGCAAGTCGAGCACAAAGGGAACACTTGGGTGTGGGTCAACAACAGGTACCCAAAAGGGAACCCCGGTAAATGGAAACAAGGACTAAAACCTGCGGTCCAATTCCTGGTGGTTTCATTTTGACCCACACCCACTTGACAGGCCTGTGGAGTGCCGACCAGGCGGTCATTCAGCGCCTACCAGCCGAAAGCCGAAGCGGAGATTTCAGAGTGCCGCGGGGAACGCGCGTCGAAAGGTCGGCAGAGGCCAGGCGGCTGGCAAGTTCAAAGCAGGGAAGCCGCTCATCACTTCTCTGGCTGTGGGTCCAAACCGTTTTGGATTCCATTTTGGGTGGATTGGGTGAATTCACCCGATTTTAGTGGCGGCCACGCAGCTCCGCAAAGAAAATAAGAACAAACCAAACACTCTTTACCAGCAAATTGTGGCTCCGCATGCGGGGAACACCCCCAAAAAAGCACCCTCATTGATCCCGGCAAGCGGCAGTCAAAATACATTCACAAAGACAAGTTGCATCTAACCAGAAGCCCCTTGCTCATGAATCCAACAAGCAGAAGTCCCCATATCAGTGTCTTGGCCTTGCCGGTTTTTGCTGGGGAACAAGCTACAATCAATGATCGTGTTTTTGACATGATTCCAAATCAAACATGTCAGCAACATGCAAAACGTGCTTTTTAAATGTTCTGTGCTAGGAGCAAGGCTCTCTCTGTGAATCGCCCACACAGTAGCTTGACAATTTTAGCACCCTATCTTTGCTAAGAGCTCAATGCTTTTAGAATCAAACGAAACGAAACAACCCAACTTACATGCGATCCTTCACATGCAACACAACGGGAAGACTACTGCCTCCTTTCTCCGCTTCGCCTTCACCCAATCTCAGCCCAGTCAATTCCCCCCCGTCTGCCTTGGGGCTGCCTGGGAGCACGTTGCTCCGCATGGCCGCAACTCGCCCGGGCAGGGACGGAACGTGCAGAGCACTTGTCTTGTCTCGTCTGAGCCTATGCTAGGCTGCATGACTAGAGTGTTCCCGACCCGAAATCACCAAAGCTGAATGATGGCTCTGGGTGAACAACGATACTCGATTTTGCCAAAGGTTGATGCTGTCCGTTCTGTCTTGGGCTGACTCACACTTCCCAATGCATGGTTGTTCCTTGCAGCGTCGCGAGACTTGTCTTAGCGCGGCGCTGGCCTGTTGCGCAAGCTTGAGAGGCTTGGCAGAAGACATCGCCATGTCGCTGACTGCAAGATTTGGGTTTGTCTCAAAATAGGGAAACCGCAACAATGGATATGATGCTTCTATTTTCCCTTTGAGCCAAGCCCACAAACAGTACCATTTAATTAAAATAAAAAAATGAAAATGTATCAGCAGGTTGGGTCCCATCTCCACTCCGGCCTCTTGCCCTATAACGTATGCATGATCTTGTCGATCGCTCGCTTGCATCATGGAGAACGCCCTGCCATGTTGGCCTTCTGCCCCAAGCAAAATTTGGCAAACACATCTCCACCAAACATGCCAAAAAATGTGTGTTTGCACCGGACATGCTCCTCACCTCACACTCACACACACACACACACACACACACATGCGCGCGCGCCAAAAAGACGACGGCCCATGCGCTTCCAAGGCTCCCGGCCTCTCTGCAACCACCCCGCCCCCCCCCCCCCGGCGCGCTGATTTGCTCTTCGTCGGGCGTGTCATCCTGGAGCCGCAGCAGCGCCTCCGATCGCCAAGCGCAACGTCGCGTAATGCGTCACTTCCATTTACGTTTGCGCCCCCGAGAAAGAAAAAATAAATAGTCCAGTAGTCATAGGTTCCCTTCAAAACCAACAGAGGAAAAGAACATATTATTTTCAGCAAATGGAAGGTAAGGAGCGGCGCTGAAGGATCCTTCGTCTTGTTGGTGGCAACTGCCCAGTCTCGAGCCTTGCGCCTTTGGGAGCGCCTTCAAGCGCGCCCCGGATCCCGTTGCGCGCCCCGGATCCCGATGCGAAAAAGACACATGCGCTGAAACAAGGCCAGCCTCGCGAAAACATGGGATCTCTGGGCACAAGAGACAAGAATAGTAAGACTTAGTGCTTGACAAAACACACAATTCGATTGATCCGAAATGGCAAACTAGATTTGGGAGAAAGCCGCGCTCTACTCCTCCCTCGCTGAAAGGTTTCCTCGCTAAAAGTTTAACTTTAGTGGGTTAACTTCAGAAATCCAACCACCAAGCACTAAAACGATCTACAAACCTAAAAAACCGGATGGCTGCTTGAGCCACCAAGCGGAGGGGCCGCTTCTCTAGATCGGTTGCCTCTTGTCGCTGGGCATCGAAAGGTCTCGCTTGCTTCTGCCCCTTGCTGCGCTCGTGTTCCCTTGCTTGCGTAGAACACATGTGCGGAATGGAATGCGTCAACGGGTCAACCCCCATAATTGTATGGCCGATTGGGACACGGTTCCCTTAGGAATCCTTGTGGATCCTTAGGTAGATGGCAATCCCTGCCAACCCCAAGTAACCAGTTCCCTTAGGGATCATTGTGCTTAAGGATCCTGGCCATCCCTGCTAACCCCAAGTAAAAGAACCGGTCTTTGACCATGGCACACATGAGTCATAATCAAAACCTGGTGTTAAAATGGTCTACCCAAATCCGTGTAAGGAAATTCAAAGACGGCCGCAACTATTTCTGGTTGGGATCATCCCTTACTAACCGGATCATCTACCCGGGTTTCAAGTAAAAGCACCAAGTAAAAGAACCACAAGAACCCCAAGAACCTGCAATCCCTACTAATCCCAAGCAAAAGAAAATCGGCCTTTTGACCACACACATTTCGTCTCTTGCCAGCCTCTGCAGCAGCATCGTTCTGGGCAGCGCGGATGGAGGCATGGACTCCTCGGATTGACCCATCCATTCAATGCTCGTCTTGTGGGTGTCTCCTTCTTGTTAAGATTTGGACCCCCAAAAACTGGCTTGCTGCGGTGGTCCTTTGCCTTCCCTTCTCAAAACCACAGAAAATGGGGGGTACCAACTCCAACAAAATCACTGCACCTATCGTCTCCCCATGCATATTGACGCTGGTGGCCAATATGTTCAACTAACACCCTTCCGTGGCGATCTTGGACTAGAGGCATCTCTTGCGAACTGGAAAATGATGGCCATTCCAATGTCACCAAGGACAACTCACCCCCAAGGACCTGGTGATTCGGTGAACCCGAGGCTCTGGTGTCCATGGCCAGGATGTTTCGGGTTCTCAAGCTCATAGGCTACCATTTGCAACTCACTCTCTTCAGTCAAAGAAAAACACTTTCATAGGATGCCGAGCAGTGTCAAGAACTTCGGATTCGCTTCCAGGAATATGTCAACCCATGTTGTAGGCCTTTCCATCAACCAACAAGCACTGACAGCGCCCGCCTTCAGATTAACTGTTTTTCAGCACTCTGGTGCAGAAATCGAATCTAACCCTCGCTTTGCTCGTAACGAATGCCTCAATCCAGCTGGAAAATCCAGCTGGCACCCACTTCCCATCCAGGGCACTCCCTCCCTTGCTGTCACACTCTGTTGGCTGATTCGCAAGGAGAAGAGCCGAACAGCGTGTCTGGGGCGCGTGCTTTTCGAGCGAAAGACCTGGCACAGGGGTTGGCTCCCCATCCCGCGCCATCTGATTTGAGAGCCCAGCTTCATGTTTTTGTTCCAGGTGTTTCTTGAATCGGGGCCATAAGACTTGCTGGCCCTGCCGTGCTCTTTGTCATGGCAGCCAGGAGAAACATACCAGTATATACTGCAATCCAGACAGTTGAATAGGTAGGGCCTAGTACCAGGGTTAGAATCACTCTGAACGAGAAAATGCGCACAGCTTGATTTTGGTACCTAAGGCAGTGAGCTCCAACTAAAGATTACCAACCACACGATCAAGCTGCAAAACTTTAGGATGCCGAAAGGCCAACCCAAAAAGCCCAAGGCTTCACAAATGCGCCCTGTGGGAGAGATCAAATGACCCCGGCTCTCCTAAACTCGTCCGAAGCAAGCGCCCCGATGCTTTCGTGTGGCCCCTCCGGGCCTCTTTAGCCTCTGAAATCGGAAGGGAGGATCTCCCAGCTTGACAGTTTCTCACATTCCCAGTCCAACGATTTGTAAATCGAGGGTTCACCACCTTGGCCGATCCAAAGGGAAAAAAAAACAGGTAAAGCATGGCTCCACCCTCGGCAAACATGTCTGTTCTGAAGCATGCAAGCTGACGCAGTGAGCCTAAACACTTTGAATCAAGCAGGGCATGGGCCATTGTCAGAACCCATTGGGTGCAGACCCAAAGTCGCCAAACCTCTCCGCCCAAGTTGCTTCGCGCTCTTTCAGCTGGCGGCGCCTCCGTAACTGTCTGCCCGTGGCGTCGAAACCTCGGGTCAATGACAGCAACCGGTGCTGTGCAAAGCCGAGCAAGCGGTGGGAAGGATCAACGGGTTGCCCCCTTCATGTGGCATTGCTCAGTCCACGAGTATTGGGACAACCAAAAAAAGCGGAGGTCGGCCAGTCAAATGAACCCAGGACAGTGGCGCGAAGCTGAACGGACAAAGGAGAAAGGATTGGTTTGGACATCAAACGTTCTCCGGTTCTCCGCATCTTGAAAAATTGGTGGAAATAAGTGGCACAGCGCCAAGCCGGACCCACACGCCATGCCAGCTACAGCAACGCACGCAATGAAGCCAAACTCCAACCGAAGCTGGGACCCCTCACTGCACCCGGAACACGCAGCGGAAGCCGCTGGGCAGGGACTCAAACCTGGCAAACCGAGTGTCCATTTCGTGGGCTGCACAGGTAGTATTCCTTTTGGGCCAAGATGAAACAGCGTCAAAAACGCCGTGGTTGAAGATTCCCCTGATTCAGGAAAAAGAGCCGTGAATCTGAATGAGGCCCTTCGACTGGTCTCTAAGCCAGCAAGTGAAAGGTTTGACTGATCCATCCTGATCTTTTGTCTGTGTGATACATACGCAACGCTGGGACAAATTGTCAGTCGCCGATATCATGAGTCATAGATCCGCCCCCCCAGAGTCCTAGAGACGACAAGGAACCTCACGTAAGGTGTCCATTTCATGTCGCACGCACAAAGACATTCGACATAGCGGAACCATGGGGTCCCCGCTTTTCTTTTCTTTTTTGACAGGTTCCAAAGAAACGCCGTATTTGGGGGTTGATCAACATTCCATATAGGGCCCCAACATGACCATGGGTGTTTTTCCCCAATGTGGTGAGGGTCAAATCTCTTCTTGTGGCTTCCCTAGCGGTCACCCCATTTGCATTTCCATTTGCAGATTGCCCCCCTGCGAACTTGGCCGCGTGGCTATTGGTCACAAGCCTCCAAGAAAAAACTATGATAGATAAGCCACATTTAGAGCTGATTTACCCCCAACCTATCCTTAATTGGTGGCTCCCCCTTAAGGGAAGGGAACGAAAGGAATCCGCTCCTTGGCACTTTTGTTGAGGGTTTCCTTTTGTTGGGAAAATTCAAAGGAAAACCAAAAAAACAACTTTCCAGCTTTGGGGCTCCCCCCAAAAAATTGACCCGGCCGCAAACAATTCCGCAGCGCCGTTGGCCCGCCCACCCCCTCCCTCCCCCCCACGCACAGCCGGGCGTCCGTGCCCGTCGAAGCGCAGGACGTAGCCCTGGCTGACGCAGAGCGCCGCCAGCTGGCGATGCGCCTAGCCAAGACGTCCACCGAAGCCCAGGCATAAGACTTGTTTTGTCTGTTCTTTTCTTTTTCTACCATTTAGTTAAAAAAAACCATTCTGAGGATAGTTTTTGAGGCTAGTTCTGTTTTTTCGAGGCGACCATTTAGTTGAAAAACCAACCTGAGGATAGTGTTTGAGGCTAGTTTTCTCTTTTTGAGGCTGCCATTTAGTTGAAGGGCTTCTTAAAGGAAAAGCCAACCAAAGGACAGCCACATGCGCCATGGTTCGCCCCCTGAAAAAAGACGGTCAACTGGGTGTCTACCCGCCTCCGGAGGCGAGGGAGCCTTTGGCGCCGGCACGGGCGCGAGCACCTGGAGCTACGTGCACAAAAAGGGTTTCAAAAGCACGAGACACCCGCAAAAAAGACCAAAAAAAAACTGGCAATTTTACGGGGTGTGTGTTTCCCCCTTTTTTAGCCGGATCCTGCAGTGCAACGTGGTTCCTCTTGAGACGCATCGATATGACCCGCGCCGGGCCTTCATGTTGTCTTGGCTTGGGCCTCAGGCTCGATCATCAACCAGTATGAATGCAAAGAATGACCTGAAGTAACCCGTCTCGTACCATGCAACGGATGATATTTGCCAGGAATCCCAACAATCACCTCAGTGCAATCCGAAACCAGCATGAAACTTGAATCGCGCGTGCCAATCCTGGTTGTCCCTCTCTCAGCATCTTCGCATGCGGCCACGGCATAGCATCTCGCAAGTTGCAACAATTACCCCTTCTAGGGACCACATGGATTCCATCTGGCCATCCCAAATTCCCCTATCTAAGGATGCACGCAGCAGCGCACCGTGCACCCCACCGGACGGCCCTTGCGCGGACAGCCCTTGCGCATCTTGACGGCCATCATCCGTTCCTAACCAGGTGGGGCTCACTCGGGTTGTGGTTCAGTACGGTGCGCGGCATCTTCAAGTCACCCCAGCTTGGTGTTGCAAACTAGCGCTGGGTGGAGTGGACAAACATGTGTCAAGAACATGTGTTACAAAACAACCAGACCTCTGCTTGACTCCCAGCGCATACATTGAATATCCTTGGCACGGGATGCGGCGGTATGCCGCAAAGCAAGTCCCCTCTTGGTCGGGAAACAATCCATGGGACGGTCCGGATTGATTCAACGAAAAGTGAACCGGGGAATCCCTCCTTTTCCAGTTCCCCCTTTCAGTAACTTCATCAAGCCTGGCCTTCCAGGCTTCTGGCCACCGTGCCTGGCAAACGAGCCGGAGATGCTGGGTCTTGAATATGGCATTATTTTTGCATCCTTTAGGTATGGTCTTGAACTTGCGGAGCCTTTGATGGACACCAACCTAGTAGGGTGTTCCAGGAACTAGTTGTGAGATACCCGAGCAACACAATCCTCATACTCTGCAAGCCAGGGCGGATTGGTCGCCTGGGGCATGGTATAGCAAACGATGCGACGATTGACCCATGAACAGATTTCCTCCGTCTCCCCCGCCCCTCCAGGCAGGTGAAATGCATCAAGCAAGTCGGGTCTGTCCTTTTGCCAGGGCAGCCGCCCAGTGTTCCATCTGAATCTAAATGCCATGCTCTCCTAGGTCCTCCAGTAGAGGGGTTAGAACAAGGGTTGCCTTGTTTTTCTGTAGTCTATTTTACTAGGGGCTTGCCCTCCCCCAAAGAACAGTAAAAGGGCACTACTGGGGGACCTAGTCTCCGTAGAAACCCCGCAACCACGGTGACGCCGGCAGTCGAGTCCCGTAACCACCCACCGCCCAACCGGCCTACCAGCCCCGTGCTCAACGGACGGGACACCACCGAGGCGCCCAGCAAACGCTCGCACCTGCCCGGCTGGCCGGTTTTTTCCGCCCCCTCCGGCGAGGGCGGACGTTGTTTGTTTTCTTCTCAACCTTAAGGCAGACGTCGTTTTCACCTAGATCAACTGTCTTTTGCAAGCTTGGTGCATTTTGGTCTGACCTCGCCACCCTTCATTCTAACCTTGCCCCATGGCGTGGCAAGGATCAAGCAATGAAAGGATTTGAAAGCATTCGGCGGTCGATACACTTGGAAAGAAGCCAAATGAGAAACTCCCGTGTAATCTACCACGTTGCTTGGTGTGCCTGCAAATAATTGTGGAATCGCGAATCCACTATGCAAAAGTCCGGTTGAATCGCCAGTGTCAGTGGGCATCCCGGCTAATTGACAACATGGTGAGTGGTCGGTGAGCTTGAGTTCTTCCTTATAGTGGATGTTGGATATGCTGGGGCCGGCAAGGATTCCCGTGATATGAGAGGAACTAAGCCCAAACTATGGATTATGGACACAAAAGCACGTGCGCTGTGCCCGATATCGGGCATCTTTTAATTGGACCTCCCATTTTTTTGTTGTTGTTTTTCTTCCCCGGTCCCAAGAGTTGTTGATGAACTCCTTTTGGTTTCCTTTGACGGGGTCCTTTTGGTTTCTCACTTTATTCCCCTTGACCCTAGGGTCTTTTTCATGGGGCATGCCTCATTGGTCTTCTTGACCTGAGGCCCTGGCTCCAAGCGTGAGCACAGGAAGACCCGTCGCATCTCCAACAGCACCTGACCGCAAAGCGCCCGAAATCGGTTTGGACTTGCTTCAAAAGTCGTATGTTTCAAAAAACACATAACGCACACGCATGCTGTTGATCTGTGTCCTCTTTATCCTTGTTGAACAGACTGATGGCATTGACGTTGACCTGTGAGGAAACTGTTGGGCGGCACTGAAAAGCGCTCTGTGCAGACTCTGCGGCTTGGGCAAACAAACGAACAAACAAACAAAGAAACAAAGAAACCCGGATCCGAACCTGCATGATTCATGGCTCCCCAGGGTGTGGGTTCAAATTCTGCAAAGCACAAGCAACGCCCTGCCATTGGGCCACTGGGTAAGATGCTAGCTTGATACACTTGCTTATTTAAAATACAAACTGATCGCAAAAAAACCTACGTAGTCCACCTACAGCGGTTTAGATGCGAATGATCAGAACCAAAGTGAACCTAGAACCGACCTAAGCAACCTGTGGAGTGGCGCAGCCCCAAAACAGGGTGGGGACATGTTACGATCTCCAGGGTTGTGGGAACGATCTTTACTTGGCCCTGAATTTGGCTGAAGATCCACCGAAGCGTGCCGTCATGTCAAGCCCTGGCAAGACAAATGGCAAATGAGCTGGAAAAAAAAAAGGTATTAAAACTCTTATCCCACGTTGTTTTCATTGCAAATCCAAGCGGCGGTCTTCATACGCATGAGTTCCCCCGATAGCATGCGATCTGCAGAAAAAAGAAAATGCAAAATACAGAAATGGGCGGTTTGCGGGGCATCTGCGGGACATCCTCCAAGCAGTTTGGGGCATCTGCGGGCTGCGCGAGACTTGTGCGGGACTTGCGCGAAAACTTGTTAATCTTTGGGCCATGGTGATGATGATGGTGGTGATGATGATGACTCACTGCGTCACTTGCGCTTCACTTGAGCTTTACTTGCGCAGCCCCCTGTTTGACTTGCGCGGCCGCTCCTGCAACACAGCGTTGGTGCAGCTGATTTGATAGGTCCAAAACAACTGGGATCACGCCTTACATTAACACATACAACGTTGTTTTTTAGCTCAAATGGCAAGTCCAAAGTTAACAGTACATTCCAGTGAGTCTCATCGTTGCCCCTGCAGGAAGCACACCGAAACTTTCTCGCGAACCCACCGTTCGGCGCGCAAACTTTTCCTCCGATGCGGCATGCGACCGGCGCTGCAGGAGCCTTGGGCAAAAAATCGCTTCGTGGGTTCGACAGCCAGCCCATGCTTCTTTCGTGGCGGCACCCACGTCTGGCTTGACATGGTTCAAGGAGCAGTTTCAAGCCAGTTCCCGCGAAACAGCGAAAGCGCAACTGAATCCTTCTCTTGGCCTGCTGCGACTGCCTTGATCCCAAGAAGTAGCCCTCAATCCCCAGACAAAACAAAGCGCCAGCCCTTCTGGTAACAGTAAACCACCTGCCTATCCTGGACACTGGACCAAAGTCACCCCTAAGCGGTGAGGGAAAGGGGGAGAAAAAGAAAGATTTCTGACGTTGACAACCAGTAGAAACACTTAACATAATGACCCCAGGACAGGTTCTTCCAAACCACAGGAAGAGAAGTCACCCACCCCTCCACACCCCTCCACCCCACCCCGAGCTCCAGGCCCTTGGGCCCTGAGGCGCACCAGCGCCAGGTCCGGGGGCTCCGGCGAGCTTTGGGACCTCAGAAAAAGGCGACCCCAGGGAGCCCCAAGAACGGGAGGCGCTTTTTGTTGGACGCGCCTGAGGTGTGGGGTCCCTGGGTTTCCCTGAGCCACAGGTCAAGGACTTGGGACTCGTCTGGCCGTCTGCGGTCCTTGCGTTTCCGGAAGCCGTCCAAAGAGTTTCCTATATATTTTCAGACAGACCAAGGGACAGATCCCGGCGACACGGAGGCACATGCGCCGCCTGGACGCGCGCTGGGGCGGGTCACATTTTTAGGCATGTCCCCAAAACGGGACCCTTGGAAATGGTTGTGGTCTCCCCTTTAACTGGTCCTGCACACAGCCACTTTTGACATTCCCACCCCCCCCCTCTGGGGTCTCAACAATGGCACGGTGCTGTAAGCCGTGAAGATGCGGCTGGCCTCACTTGGTCTGGTTTCAAACCCGGCCAGTTCGGCACGTCAGAGAACTTGGGGGAACTCCGTAAATTACCATGGTCATGGGTGGCAAAAGATGGGGTATCCGCAACAGTCCGTAGCCTCTCACCCGTCGGAGTCTGACAGGGTGACAGGGAAACAGTCACCCCTGCTGAAATGATCCTTTGGGTCTATACGTGCCAAGCCTGCTTGCCAGCAAGCAAGCTTGGCTTGTTTCATGAGTCCAGGTCCTTTTATGTCATTCGGAATCCCATACAATCACTGAGAGTGATTGTATCTCTCACCAAGCCATCTCATGGACTGGGGTTTACGCATCAGTCTGGGTGCCTCATTCCCTCAAATCACATCCTGTCCCCCCCCTCTCCTCCCAGGCAATTCAGCTGTGGGTCAAAGCCAATGGTGCCATTTTGGGATAGCTCCCATTTTAGTCTATTTTAGTGGGGATTGGCACGTTTACTGGGGTACGGGCTTTTGACCCATGGCCATTTCGCAACCAGGCAATCAATCAAACAAGGCGCTTGATTAGCAAAGCCCGAAATTACGCAGTGGTTAGACAAAACTGTTCGGAGTACAAAGGCCTACCCCCGGCACGCATTGCAAGTAAACCGACCAGAAAGTCAGTGGCAAGCCCCGAGTTGCCCGGGTAATGCCCACGTTGGGTTGACATTTTTCGTCCGCCTACGAATTTTAAGGGATTTGGAGCATGCCACCGACGGTCGCGCGGAAATTTCACACAATCCCAGCGCTCCTCCTCCGGGCTCAGATCTGCCAGACCTGCAGTCTCACGTGTCCATGCTTGAGCTCTCTCTCCAAACGCACGAGCGTGAGCCGCGAGCTTGCTGTCGGCTTACAAAATAGCAGGGAGTGCTACATATAAGTGCCTTAAAAATTGGAACAGCTCCAGGTGGTTGGTTGCCCTTGCATTTTCCTTTCAAGCCATCCGAAAAGGGGAGGGGTCCATCGGGAGATATGTCCGTATGGATGTTGTATTCGTGGTTTCCCGTGACCAAAAAAATGCTGTGGACCATGATCCGCAAGCCCCATCGGTTCGCAGTGTCTCGTTCCTTGGTTGGACAAATCGGGCTGGCTTTGGTCCAACAGCCGCTGGTTGCGTTTGTTCGAGCAATGCATGTTGCACATACGCAGCTCCGAGCGAGGACGAGAATGAACTCAAAAGGAGCTTTGAATGTTGTTTCAGCAGGCCTGAGATGCTACCTTGAGGCTCACATGAAAGCCACGACAGCACTCAAATTACACTGTCACCGTGGAACATAGCGGTTTCGGCCTTCACCTTCTTCACGAGCATGCACTGCCACAGCCTGAGCAACAGGCAAAACAAGTTGCCTCTACCTTTGGGAATGAGAACGCTTCATGAGACGTTCCACGTCTCACCCCTCCTCATTCGTGGGAGACATTCGGTGGGACCCTCTGACATCTCTAGCGTCATCCTAGGTTCAACTCAAGATGCAAAGCCTTCACAGCCACTTGTGTTGCTTGTGGAGGAATGGGGCTGGACCTTGGCGAGTATGAAGGCCTAACTCTCCTCGCAACGATCACTATCCCAGGCCAAGGGGTCCCCGAAAGAAAACATTTGTGCGTGCTCTGCTGCCATTGCGGCTGCTGTTGTCGCAGAAATTACTGTAGGTGTAGTAGCGCTTGCTGTTGCTCCTGCAATTGCTGTTGCTGTTGCCGTTGCTGCTGCTGTGTCTGTTGCTGTTGCTGTGTTGTTTTTCTTGGGTCGTTGTGGTTGTTTTGGTTTTTTTTTGGTTGTGGTGGTTGTGGTGGTTGCGGTGGTTGTGGTGGCTGTGCTTGTGGTTGTGGTCGTGGTCGTGGTCGTGGTCGTGGTCGTGGTCGTGGTCGTGGTGGTTCTAGTTCTTGTTATTGT